TGTATTGTATTTGATTATTGTAGCTTCCACAGATGCTTGTAATGAACTGATGGCATACCTTTTTTTTTTCTGGCCATGTTGCTACACTTGCTGCATCAGAAGAAAGTTTCGCAAGATGCTTAACATCACGGTATCTCTCGTCTTTTTTTTACTCTTTGATTTAAGTTTTGTAATTTGAATTATATTTTTTATAAACCGCCAATCCGCCCAAACCGCCAAGGCAAATCCACCATTATTTGCCAACCGAACCGTCGGTTTTTGATAAGAAAAATGGCAAATTCTAGTGACACTTTTATCAATCCGCCACCCGCTATATGGTTTCTATTTTTCTCTCAAACCGCACCGACCCGCACACCCCTAGTTATAATATACTATTTATTCGGTTAATTATCATAAATATTATAATTAAATTTTTTAATCATAAAAAAAAATAATACGTCATAATTAAACACTACATAAGATATAACAAAGAATATTTTAAATCAGAATCAAAATAACAATTATGATAAGTCATAACTAATGACTCATAATTAATAGTATAATAAATTATAACTATAGACCAACGTTATAATTGAGTCTTCGTTTGGTAATGATTTTTTTAGTTAGTTTTTTGACTTTTTTAACTTGAAATGTTTTTGTTCATTTTGTAGCCTTGATTGGCTTCTTTGACTTTTTAACTTTGGAATAGTGAATTTTTTTTTTTTTATCATGTTGTGATTTTTTGATTTTTTTTGTGATTAGTTAGCCAACTCAAAAACCAAACAACCCCTGAAACATCTCAAAATAGAGGGTGTATTATAAAATTTCCTTACATAGAGAATTGATTCTTTTTTTTTCCTTTTCTTTATTTTATTTTATTTTATTTTATGAAGATTGTAGGATGTTATAGATATAAATTTGAACATATAGTAAAAAAAAATTAAAGAAATAAAAAAAAAATCAACAGATAAATTAAGGGATAAAATTGATACAAAATGTCATCTAAAATAATAAATAAAAAAAAACTTCTCACCAACCTATTTACAAAGGATGGACGTCTCACTAATAACAAAAATACTTACTAAACCTAATGTCTCTTATACCTATATTGGACATTTTAACAATTTTTTCCTTTAATAATTACCTCTTTGAAAATCACTTTCGACCACCACCAACTACTTTTATCTAACACAACTAACTACTTTTATCTAACTTCAATTACCACCTCTGTCTACTATATTTAGGGTTATTTGAAATGTTCTAAATATTAGTATACTTTCTGACTTTTTTAAAAATATTGGGTTAAATTTGAAGTAAAGTGATAAAAAGGTAATATGATTTAAATAAAATGATATAACTTAAATAGAATAGTGACTTTTCCACTTTTTAATTTTTTTTAAGAATTAACAAACAAAGTCTTAATCGTGGACAACCACGTTTGGCTACTACTACTAGCCAATGACGTTTCTCATTTATTTTCAAAACAAAATTTTAAAATGCATATTTACTATATATATATATTTAATTAAAAATAAATATAAACATGTTTAATATTTTATTATGTAAAAAAAATAAGAAGAAAAAATGAAGACAAAAAACAAACAGGGGGCAAACACTATATATATTTGAAGGTTTGGGTACGAGAGAGCGACATAGAGAGAGGAGAGAGCGTGAGAATGGAGAAGAAGTACGAACAGTTTAAAGGGCAGCCGAGGCTGCCGAAATTCGCTGTCCCGAAACGTTACGATATCAACCTCAAACCAGACCTCGTCACCTGTAAGTTTGCCGGTGCCGTCAAAATCACTGTCGACGTTGTCACCGGCACTAAGTTCATCGTCCTCAACGCCGTCGATCTCGTTGTTGACCGCAACTCGCTGCACTTCACAGATACCAGCGGCTGCAAGGTATCGCTTCATCTATTTATTATTCTTATTATTTTTTATTTTTTATAATTGTTGTTGTTGTTGTTATAGATGTGAATCAATTGGGTATTATTATTTGAATTTGTTGTTGGTTTGTAATAGGTAGCGGAGGTTTTGGGGGTTGAACTTTTCGAAGAGGATGAGATCATGGTGGTGGAGTTTCCTCAGAAACTGCAGCTTGGACTTGGGGTTTTGTGCATTGCCTTTGAAGGAACCTTAAATGACAAAATGAAAGGCTTCTACAGAAGGTTTCTCTCTCTATTTATATAGGAAAATGAGTGAGAGTACTAATTAGTGCTATCATTAATGATGTGACAGTGGGTTTCACCAGAAATGATTTAATGTTTTGGTCTTGGTGTTATATTTTTTTTTTTTATTGAGTGTGATGTTATTAGTGGTCTTTTAGAGTTCCAAAATTAGTGATCTCTATCATTGTTGATTTATATACTATAGAGTTCATAAAAAAAATATTATAGATGAAATGTTATATAAATATATAAGGTGTATTTCATTATATTTTTTTTAGACAAACACTACCTTAAATAAAAAAAATCAAATTTTAATATAAAAATAATTGTGCAACTCGGGTGTATTGCACACACAGTCCTCTCTACCTAGTATATATATATCAACAAGGCCGCAAACCCACCCTTATTAACCCATAATTTCCTTAGAAAGAGAAATCAATAGTTCAAATTTATTTTATTTATGAAATTCACACTTCATTAACTTAATCTTCATCACACTAATATATTCGGAAAATCAGAATAAGTTATAAGTTCATAAGGGTGAGTTCTTAACATTTTTCCTCATACATATACTAGTAATTACACACGTGTGATGAAATCTACAACCCTAGGCAGTTGATAGATTTTTTGTTTGGTATGGCATTAACTGCTCTTGTGTTTGGTATTTTCAGAAATAAAAGAAAATGTTACAAAGCTACAATTATGGTGTGTTTGGTTGAGGGATTTAGGGAGGGATTTGGAAATGGAAAGGGAAAGGGAAAAGGTGTGTGAAACTATGTGAAATATATACCTATTTTATTCACATTTCACCTACCTTTTCCATTTCCCTTTCCAAATCCCTCTCCAAATTCCCCAACCAAACACAACATTAACTAATTTGTAGGCTTCATATAATTGTAACTAGCGGTGGCTGCGCACACGATGCGGATGCGAAAAACTATATGTATATTTTATGATTAAAGAAGATGAATAGAAACGTACCATATTTGTGATTTTTAAATATCTGAATTAATTTTATTTTTTTACATGACAGTTTTCAAAATCATTAATTGTTAGGGATAATTTGAAATTGGTAGTTACACAAACCATGGGTGTCTTTAGAATCGGTAGTTATAGAAGGGTAATTTAGGAATAAAAAAAGATGTGAAGAAATTGTTCATACCAAGTAACCTCCCGACTTTATATATGAAAAATTTTATTTTCACATACTTACTTATTTCAGTGCATATTATTTTTCAATACACACACTTTTTTATTTGGTTTTTAGTTATTCTTCCCGTTTCACACACTTGATATTCCAATTATATCTTAACTCATATTGTTATACACACATCACCTAAACCCTCATTCCACACACATTTACCCTCCTTAACCAATATATGAGTTAATAGGCACCAAATGGCCCCAAAGCTCCAGCCAAATTAGTTAAATTGTGAATATTGTTCTCTCTCCTCTTATATGACTATTATTATTTATTTATTTATTTTAAAAAATTTATTTATTAAAATTGTGTGCTTTGTATTTATATATTTATATATTTTGATTTTTTTTTTTTTTGGTTCTTATAACTGGTTTATTTTATTTATTTAAATTTTTTTCTTTTGTGCAATTAATTAGGAACTCTGTGATGTCTAAATAATACATGAAGTGGATAAGAGTGGAAAAAAAAAATGAAAAAAAAATAGAAGAGAAAATAGAGAGATAACGGAGTAGACTGGAAGATTATATATATGACCAGCTCACCATCACACCAAAACCACCACTGAACAGCTTCGTAATCCACCTCCAAACAGAGCTTTTCCAACCTAATAGTAGGGAATTTATGTCTTTGACATAAAGATCTAATTCGCGTGGCCGCTTTTGCTTCGCATCGTTGAAATAATATTTCATTAAAATTCCAACCTAATGGTGTCTTTAGGTGTGCTTTGAGTATCAGGATCATCACCATACTCTTACTCCTTACTTTCCTACTTGCTAGGCCATTGAGTTCATTTTTTGGCTCAATTTCGATAATTCGAATTGTTGATATTTTAAAATTTGTTGAGTATATCATACTTATAAAAAATTAAGTTGATCGGATATCATAAACTATGTGTTCGAATTATCGAACTAAAAACCATTTTTTAAAAAAAAATTAATAAACAGTTTTCTGAACACATGTTTTCTGATATCCAATCAATTTAATTTTTTACAAGTATAATATACCCAACAAATCTTAAAATGTGAACTGTTTGGATTATCGAAATTAGGCCCAAAAGTGGGCCCAATGGCCTAGCAAGTAGGGAAATAAGAAGAGAAAGTAAGGAGAGGATCTGATTTGGTGCTTTGATGTCTATTATAGTAATTTTGCTTTAAGGGACAACTGTCATTAAAATAATATTTCATTAAATGTATACGCAGAGATAATTACGAATGTAAAAATAGAATTTCGTTTTATATATACTAGATGTTGTGCACCTATGGTGTGCGTGTGCGATGATAAATCAACAATTTAGACAGGAAAAAGGAAATTAAGGCCAAGTTTGACATACACAAAATAATCTATCTTTTTTATCTTTTTTCTATCATATCACTTCTTTACTTTTCTGCACATCTTTTTGTAAAAAGACAAAAAATACACTTATTTAGGTCATCCCAAACAACCCCTAAAATGTTATCAAAATTTGAAAATTTTAAAATAAAAAATTGAAGTAGTTATAAAGGTAGTTGCACAGGTATAATTTGGGAACAAAAAGTCTAAAAGTTATCCAAATTTGAAGTTTGAAATCAAAATATGATGTAATTGTATTAACAATGATTAAGACTCCATTTTTTGGACCCTACAATTTCTTTGGATCTCAATTATAGATGGTATGCATACATGAATGGATTCTACCCATACAATAGTGGTTGAGATTCAAAAGAAATTGTGAGATTTAAAAAAGAAGTCCCAAATATTTTTCGTAGTTATATATAGGTTGTTGCACAGGGATAATTTGGGATTAGAGAACATTGTGATGGTTCACACTAAGAAAGGTGTGCTTTACATATACAATAGATAGTTGAATGGATTTTATATTATATGGGTCAAACGGAGGCGTGAATGTGAGATTTCAGCAGAATGATCGGCCGGACAGAGGTTAGGGCTGCAACCTTCCCACCTTATATAATATTAGTGGGTGGCACACACGATATGTGTGCAATTTAAATAAGTAGGAATAAAAAAAATAATAATGAAATTAATAATATAATGTATACTTAGCTTAAGTGGTATGAGTTCTCGTACTTAAACTCATGGTCATGGGTTCAAGCCTTACCCATCTCTTTGTTTAACTTTTTTTTTAAAAATAAAAAATACTGTCACATGGCATGAGGAGAGTAAAGCTTCAGGACACCATAAAGCCTTATCCATCTCTTTGTTTAACTTTTTTTTAAAAAAATAAAAAAGAAGACTGCCACATAGCATGAGGAGAGTAAAGTAAGCTTCAGGACACCATATTATGTGTTCACTTTATAATAGTATAGATAGATAGATAGATAATAAAATAGATGGTGTATATATATATATATATATATATACAGGTAGGGTGTTTTGGGTTTTTGTCTTTTTATTTTTTGTGAGAAGTTATGTGAAAAGTGATGTGATTCAAAATTGATAAAAAATTAAAAGCTAACTTTTTACTAATTTCCCAAAAAATATCTCTTCACTTGAATTCTCTGACATTTTCTGATACACAAAATTGTTTGTCTAGTTTTAACTTTTATCATATTCAAAATATCTGTTATTTGTTACTTGCTGAATTTATTGAATAATTTTATTAAAGCAGTTCTGTACTTGGTAATCTCTCTCTATTATTTAATCATGAAATTTTATCCAAGTTAGTAGACGGTTATTTGTCCCCACCACGTAAAAGATGTTTGCTGATATACACTGTTGTCATTTGTAATTGTCGTCTCTTACCAAACGAGACTAGAAAGAATGTGGGAATTAGGCCTATCTGTTTTCAGAGGAAAAATAAAAGAGATTATTAATGAAGGGACTGTCAGTGAGGAGACTGTTAATAAAGGGATTAAGAAAAATTATATTTTTTTATAACCAATGAATTAGTAATAGTTTATATTTAAGGGTGGGATTAACCATGTAAAATTTCACAAATACCCTTTACATTATTATCAAATTTAGACTTATACCAACAGAAAAATAAATAAATTTTTACTCAATATTATTATTATTTTTTTATTTATATTTTTTAAATATTAAAGAATCTAACTATCAAAATGTATTACTCAATGTTATTTTTTTACTCAATGTTATTTTTTATATATTAAAGAATCTAACTATTAATAAATTTTTACTCAATGTTATTCTTTTTTTTTATTGTTATTTTTTTTTGTAAATATTAAATAATCCAACAATCAATAAAATTTTACTCAATTATTTGTGGTAGGGGTGAGTATGGTCCGGATTGGATCGGATTGGGCTAAAACTAGGAACAATCTGTTATTTACAGTTCCTGAAAAATTGGAACCAATCCAATCCGTTTAAATCGTGGAACCAATCCGGACTAATCTATTTAAATACGGATTGGATCGGTTTAAGATCACGGATTTACATAATTAAATAACAAAAAATATATATATAACACTTTAATTTCATAAAAATATAAATATAGCACCGTATTAGTTTCACAATAACATGTCTTTTCATAATAGCGACATACTGTTCTAAAATTTAAACAACCATAAGAAAACTGGTTCCACCATAAGTATTTTGACCATTACAAATTAACACTAAAAGCTAGCAAACATACAAAAGTAATAAAAGAAGATATTATGCGAGTTTAGGTTTAGATTTAAGTTTTATATGAAATAAGAGAAGATACTATGTAGGAGAATGTATAATAAAAATATAGACTATTTGTATACGGTCCGGAACGGTTCCAATCCGAAACCGTGGGGTTCAATCCAGAACCAATTCGTGAACTACGGATTTTTAATTTTTCAATCCGGAACCGAACCACGGATTCAAAAAACCAATCCAAACCTACTGAATTGGACTGGACTGGATCGAATTACGGATTTCACGGATTTCTTGCTCGGCCCTAATTTGTGGATTTTATTTTAATCATGATTATTTGTCTTCAGTACTTATGTGCATTGTGGGGAGAAGAAGAACATGGCAGTGACGCAGTTTGAACCAGCTGATGCTAGGCGGTGCTTTCCATGTTGGGATGAACCTGCTTGTAAGGTGCCAATTTCTTCAACAACCCCTCTCTACTTTTCTCGTATTGTGTATGAGCATTTCCTTATGGATAAATATGAAAAAAGATGTCTTTTCTTCATTTGTACAAAAAATATGTAATTACGCGGACGAAAGATCATTGTATGATAACGGAGCTCACTTTATCTTGCACTACAGTTCTACGTATCTCTGTGGCCAGGATATTCAATCATGTATGACCAAAGTTTATTTTGTGAAGCATATTCGCTAATCAGAATCCCAACTATTATTCTGCTGCTATAAAATTAATAAAAATAAGATGACATAAAAAAAAATGTTTTCAAGAAGAGGGAAGATGACTTGATCTTTTAAAGGATGTGAGATATTATACCATTTCAAAAAGTTGAAGAACTAGAACTATGAACCTCACTACTTTTCACGGAAAACGTTTTAGGAAGAAAATGTGTAGAAAAACAAAGTTTTAGCACAATTACAAGTTGAAATATGCTTCTTTTCATCTTCTTGTTGCATAATGAGGTGTTTATACTTTTCTATGTATTTATCAAAAAAATGTGATGTGTTTGTATTTGTATATAAATGAAGTGAATAATGAATATTTATTAGTTGGCCTTAATAGTTGACCAAATTTTGCTTAGGCTACATTCAAGATCACATTGGAAGTGCCATCTGAGCTCATAGCCCTTTCCAATATGCCAGTTGTTGATGAAAATGTTGATGGAAAGATTAAGACAATTCACTATCAGGAATCGCCTATCATGTCTACATACTTGGTGGCAGTTGTCATTGGTTTGTTCGATTATGTGGAAGATCATACATCTGATGGTATCATACAGCATCTTCCATTCTTGCTTTAAATGAGTATATTACACAATGTAAACCTTAGTCTAATTTTCTTGGTATGCAGGGATCAAAGTTAGGGTTTATTGCCAAATTGGTAAGGCAAATCAAGGGAAATTCGCTTTAGATGTTGCTGTCAAGACACTTGGCCTTTACAAAAGGTATGTTGCATTATTTGTTTATTGCACCAAGAATTAATTATTCCTTTTGTATGAACTTCATCTAACAAATTGTCACATACTTATTGGTTTTTCAATAATATTTTCCATAGTGTTTCTGTAATATTAAGTTATTGTTACGATATGTGTTATTCCTTACGTAGGTTTCTTTTTGTATTTTAAGCACTTTAATATAAATATGACGGAGCAAGGGTACCCTAAGTTGGTCTCTTCTCATCTTGCTTCACATTGTTTTCTCTCTCTCTTGCAACATCTTCGACGTTATTGTTCTTATTTTTAATTCTAACTTGGTATCAAATCATAAATAAATAAATAAAGCCTTGTTGTAGTCTTTTTTTCTTTCTTTATTTTTTTAAATATGTATGAAAAAGAAAATCCCAACATGATTGACTGGGGTGGTAGAGTACTCAGAAACTAGGCATAGGGAGAATGATAGGCAATGGTAGCGCACATGGTGGTTTGTATTTTCTAGATATTGCATTTCATCTCCACCACCTTTATCGTCCAATCAGGCTCTTCAACCAGCTATTAGTTCAACACTACAATTGTTACATCACTAACATTGTCTTTTGGGTCACCCATAAGAAACTTTTTCCTAGGTTAGTAAAATATCGTCGTAGGAGTCATTTTGTCTGTTATGCTTGCGAATTTGCCAAGCGTAAATGTTCTTTTTATCCTCCAGTTAATAGAATGAACGTTCTTACTAAAAGTGAGGGGTTTTTTTTTGGTTTCAAAACGTTTCATCTCATGGTGAGTACTCAATTTGACACTAAAATTAAGATTTTTCATAGTGACAATGGCAATGAATATTTTAATGGGGTTTTCTAATCTTTCTTTTAATGACCTTGGAATTCTATTTTAGACAAGTTGTCTCGGCACTCCTACATCGAATGGAGTTATTGAATGTCTATAAATGTTCCAAGTCTTTTGGGGCGACACAATTTTCACTGCAACTTATCGTATGAATTGCATGCCCTCTAGTGTTTTACAATATAATTCTTGGGATTCTTCTTAAAACTCCTTATGCTTCTACTCTTTTTCCTGAAATCTTTAGTTGTGTTTGTTTTGTGCATTTTTCTAAACAACCTTATGGGGAGTTAGATTCTAGGGTTGTTTCATACGTCTTCATTGCGTATTCTGCTACCCAGAAAAGTTACAAATGTTATGACCTGTGCACCTGCAAAGTTTTTGTTAGAATGGATGTTACCTTTGGGTACCATGAATCATTCTTCTTGTTGTCCCAACATCTCTTCAGAAGGAGAGAGGTATATTATTAGGAACAAGAAGAGATGTTGAATCAAGAGCGTGGTCTTTTGTTCATGTTCCCACTCTTTTTTAGGAAGATGCCACTCATAGTTAGGGGGAGAAAGATAAGATCATTGAGATTGAGAATGGGACGGAGAGTGATATCGGTGGAAGGTTGAATAAGGATGACCTGAAGACTATCTCAACATGAGAAAGATTAGGCTACTTGTGTGCCACCTTGTCAATTATTATCACCGGCTCCATAACTTCAGTTTTCGAATCCTCCATTCATCCATCTGGTAATGGTTCTTCTATTGTTATTTTGATAATTCTGATAATTTCTATTGCTCTTAGAAAAGGCCTTAGGAAATTTACCCGACATACCATAACTCAGTTTGTTTCATGTGATTCCTTATCTCCTTTATATCGTTTTTGTTTCATCCTTGTCATCTATAACTGCTCCACAGAGTTGAAAGGAGGTTGTCAAAGACCCAAAGTGAAAAGAGACTATGGTAGAGGAGATGACAACACTGAAAAAGAATGACACCTTGGAGCTAGTATCTCTTCCAGACGGGATGAAATGGGTGCAATGTAAATGGTTATTCACTGTAAAGCATAACGCAGATGGAACAATTGACAATGAAAGGTATAAGGTAGAACTTAATGTTAAGGGGTTTGTTGATACGTATGGTACCTTTGCCCCCTATAACGAAGATTAACTATATTTGTGCGCTTATCTCCTATATTGCTAATCTGGGATGAACTCTTCAACAGTTAGATGTTAAGAATGCTTTTTACATGGAGATTTGGAAAAAGAGGTATATATGGATGTTCCACTGGGTTTTTCATGTTAGGTAACCAAAAGAAGGGTGTGTGGTTTGAATAAGGCATTTTACGGATTGAAGCAATCACCTAAAGCCTGGTTTGATAGATTTCTTAGGGCTATGTTGAGATTTGGATGTAGAAAAGTCATGCAGATCATACTGTGTCCAGCAAGCGCGGTGGTGACAAGATTATCATTTTTATTGTATATGTTGGTATAGTGGTGATAGGAGATAGTAAAGAGGAAGTGTGTCATCTCAAAGCATAACTAGCCAAGGAATTTGAGATTCAAGATTTAGGGTCATTGAAATAGTTTCTTGGGATTGAGGTTGCTAGATCAGATAGGGGCATTTTCCTTTCCAAAAGAAATATATTCTTGACCTCTTAGAAGAAGAGACAGTGATAATTGGCTGTAGACTTGCGAACTCTTCTATTGCGGCTAACAATAGCGTTAGTAGTGCAGGGAGCCTGTAGATAAGGAAAGAAAACAGAGACGCATAGGGAGATTGATATATTTGTCTCATACCAGGTTAGATATTTTGCATATGCTGTGTGGAAGTTACTAGTTAGTTTATGTATGATCCTTCTACCGTGCATCTTGATGCAGTTTACTAGATTTTGAGGTATCTCAAGTCAGTTCCAAGGAAAGGGATATTATTTTCCAATCATGGTCATTTGAGATTTGGAGCATCATTTGATGGAGACTGGACAGGTTAGTTGATAACAAACAGTCTACTTCTGGTTATTGTACCTTTCTAAGAGGGAATTTGGTTACTTGGAGGAGTAAAAAGCAGGTTGTGGTTGCTTAATCTAGTGTTGAATTTGAATATAAAGCCAGATAGCTCATGGTATTTGTGAGCTTATATGGCTTCAAATATTGTTGAAGAATTTAGGGTTACTTGATGCCAGTCTTATAAAGCTGTATTGTGACAACCAAGCTACCATCAATATTGCTCATAATTTAGTTGAACATGATAGAACAAAACATATTGGGATTAATAGACACTTCATTAAGAAAAAGTTGAGAAGAGTCTAATCTGTGTACCCTTTGTAAGGTTTTTTATCCCATTGTGTGCAGGTTGGTGTATAGATAAGTGTCACACCTGTTGATCCAGAGATCTGGAGTCATAAACAGGAACAATAAGCTAAGGTGACAGGTGGCAAATCCTTTGGAAAGTTTCATTTTCTAATTAAATATTGAAATTGATGTGACTCATTTTGAAAACCTTTGTTTCCAATTTAAGATTAAATATAATTCTTCATTTTCAATTTTAAGGTGTCTGACCCCTAGATATACACCCACACCCAATAGTCATACTCGAGTCCGTGTAACGTAGTAGTGGAGTATAGAGAGAGAGATATAAAGAGAGTGTGTTGTAAAGAGTGATGGGTCTAGGCTGAAAAATCATGCATAAGTTCAAAAGGACGATGAAAATGGTGATAGGAAGTAGGCCACATCACTCGAGGTGGTCTGAAATTTGTTGCACCGCTCAAGCACTAAAACCAGCGCTGCCACTAATTTCTTAGCTTCTGCACGCAGTTGCAGAAGGTGATGCTGCAAGGAGCAAATGGCCGCTCGAGTGCTAAAACCAGCGCTTGTGAATGCAAGTTCATAGGAAAATTTCTGCTGCAAAAAATTCTTGCAAGTTGTTCAAGATTGCTCGAGTGACAAAATTATCACTTGAGCGAACACTTAGGTCTTCTAATGTATAAACTAAGTGAGACCCAATTCAAAATGACAACAACTGCCACTAAATAAATGACCCAATTCACAACGTAATAATTTAAATAAACGAGGTTCAATTGTATCCTTACAACCTCGGGAGCACAAAATACAAACAAACAACCGACTCCGTGAGTCGTGCTAACGCATGAATTATTACAAATAGTCCAAACCTGGAGATATATAGAATAAAATAAGGTTTCAGAAACCTGAGATGTTACAATAAGTGTGCAAGTTAGGTATGAGAGACATCTATGTACCAACTTGAAGGGAAGTATTATGCTATTTGTTATTTCCTATGTAGGGTTAGTTTTGTATTTTTATTATAAATATGGAGTGAGGGAGAGAACGCAAAGTTGATTTCTTCTCTTGTTGCTTCATATTGTTTTCTGTCTTTTTCAACATATTCTACGTTATTGTTCTTATCTCTAATTATAATTGTTATCAACTATTATTTTCTCTAAGGTGCTTCTGTAACATCTCCATATATACATTTTTTGATTTACTAGTTGAAGTTTTGCAGTTACTTTGCTGTGCCATATTCACTTCCCAAATTGGATATGGTTGCGATCCCTGATTTTGCTGCTGGAGCCATGGAGAATTATGGTCTAGTTACATATCGTGAAACAGCTTTGCTCTATGATGATAAGCATTCTGCAGCTGCTAACAAGCAGAGGGTAATGTGCATATGTTGAAAGTATATCTGGATTCCTGAATATTTCAAATATTGCATGGATTTATCTTGCTCATCTTTTCATCAATCAAGCTGACGAATTCTTTATGATGTCATTGGCTTAGGTTGCAATTGTTGTGACCCATGAACTTGCGCACCAGTGGTTTGGCAATCTTGTAACAATGGAGTGGTGGACTCATCTTTGGCTGAATGAAGGATTTGCAACATGGGTATTTCACTTTGATTGATTTGTGTTTTTATTGTTCTTATTACAGTACATAGTTTGTTACTCATGTGTAAGAAAGGGCTTCTTTTGTCCAGGTGAGCTATTTAGCAACTGATAGCTTGTTTCCAGAATGGAAAATTTGGACACAATTTCTTGATGAAAGTACTGAGGGCCTTCGGTTGGATGGGCTTGCAGAATCACATCCCATTGAGGCATGGTGTCTACTTAAAGGATTCAGTATTGTTACTTCTGATTTTTTTATTATTCAGAATTATGTATACCCAAAGCTTGATTTGGAGCATATTTTTCTTTCCAGGTGGAGATAAATCATGCATGTGAGATTGATGAAATATTTGATGCTATTAGTTATAAGAAAGGTGCATCTGTTATCCGCATGCTGCAAAGTTATCTTGGTCCTGAATGTTTTCAGGTTGGTTTTTTGGTTTCTTAGTATGCCATTTTGCCTTAATTCTTAACATTTTCGCATTTAGTTTGGTACTCTTCTGTATTGCTTTGGTAGGATCCTGCTCCTCCTCATTATATAAAGGTAGATAACTTATTGGAAGAGCTCCCTTTTCTCCCTTCTTTCCTAGCCTCTTTCTCTCGTGTTATATCTCTTCTCTCATTTTCTCTCCTCTTATTCTTATCCCCTGCCGTCTCTCTCTCTCTCTCTCTCTCTCTCTCTCTCTCTCTCAGTTCTTCTGTCTTTTTTGTCCCCCTTTCATCTCTCCTTTTCTCGTCCTTCCTGTTTTATCTCTACCTCAACATATATCACATAAGGCCAAAAACAGATAGTAGAAAAAAATAAATAAAAAAAATCAGCAAACTGTATTTGCCCACCACCTGTTCAAAGGAAGTTTTGTGAGTGTCGGGATACATTAGCACCTTGTTATTGGTTATTTTTTTCAGCAATTATATAAATTCACTTTTTGGACGTGCAACTCTTGGCTATGCCTTTGTATCCTAAGGTTTAGGAATTTGAAGGATTTGGTGCTAAGACCTTCAGCGAACATGGTTAATTAACCCCAAGTCTGTGTGACATAGGTGATCATTATAGTTGCACATATCTTTCGAATTTGATTGACAGAGGTCTATTAAGGACAGAAGCGTATGTAAGATAATAACTGATGCCTGCTTTTGTTGATTTCTTGAAGAAAATGAGAAGAATACTGTTATTCATTGCTGATTTTATTGTGCTTTTCAGTGTTGCTTGAGTCCCTTAATAAACTTGTTCCTTGCATTATGAGTCTAATCCTTTTTCTTTACTTGTTGATTTTATCTGAACAGTAACATACTTTTTTTTTGGGGGTGATTTCTGAAGCTTTGAATAATCAGCTTAGGGTATGATGAGATATCACCCCTTATTTATACATGAAGATTAGGGTTTACAAACAAAGTCAATTACAAGATGATCCCTGAGGGTATCACAATGATTACAGACCCAAGCCTTTCGGCTAATAAAATACTAAGACTTTCGGTGATTATAATATGCCAACAATTTCCTCATACATTCAGAGGGCACTTGCTTCATACATAAAAAAATATGCTTGCTCAAATGCAAAGACAGAAGACTTGTGGACTGTCCTTGAAGAGGAATCTGGTGAACCCGTGAACAATCTAATGAATTCATGGACAAAGCAAAAGGGTTACCCCGTTGTCTCTGTCAAACTCAAAGATCAATACTTGGAGTTTGAGCAGGTTCCTTGTTACTGCATTGACTTCTGTTTGAAATTAGAACCTTTAACGTACATCTCTTGATTGGACTGCAAAGCTTATTTGTTACATCATGTGTGAACTTCATAGGAAATTTGAGGTAATTCTAATGACATGTATATAATTTAATGGCAGTCGCAATTCTTGCTGAGTGGTTCCCATGAGGATGGGCAATGGATTGTTCCAATAACGTTATGTTGTGGCTCATATGATACTTGCAAGAATTTTCTGTTGCAAGCAAAATCTGAAACTCTGGATGTAAAGGAATTCGTTGGTTCCAAAGATAACCTTGTGGATATTTTAATAAAATTCTTTTGTTGCTGCTTTAAAAAAGAAGAAGATAACCTTGTGGAGACAAGAGCTTGGATAAAACTTAATGTGGACCAGGCAGGTTTCTATAGGGTGAAATATGATGAAGGGCTTGCAAGCAGACTTAGACATGCAATTGAGACCAAATGCTTGTCTGCAACAGATAGATTTGGTAATTTTATTGCTTTTACTTGTACTTTTATCATTTTAACGTTCAAGAAGAGTAGTTAATGTTAAGGTATTCTTTTCAACAGGAATTTTGGATGATTTGTATGCCTTATGTGTGGCATGCCAGCAGCCTTTGGCCTCCTTGCTTACATTGATGGGTGCTTACAGGGAGGAACTTGAATACACTGTTCTGTCTAACTTGATTAGCGTAATGCTCACCATATTATGCATTTTTATTTTCATTCAACCCTTCAACCTAGCCTTTGGTCCTAATTTCAAAATTTTGTTTTCACAGATAAGTTTCAAAATTGAAAGAATTGCAGCTGATGCTGCTCCTGAATTGCTGGAGTACATTAAACAATTTTTCATTAGCCTGTTCCAGTATTCTACACAGTAAGTTTCTTATGTTATGAATTTCTGGGTGAGCTTCATCTTAGAATTTAGGGCAATCTTAGAACACACTAGGCAATATAAAGCCATGCAGAAATTAATTGTTATCGAGATGTTAGTTGCATTACTTCCCCCTCCCCCCAACCATATATACATATTTATACACACAAGGGGCAAGATCATCCTGATGCAAGGCTGCTTTAGAAAATTTGAGTTAATGCTGCCTACAATAGGTATTGTAGTGGGTTTTGGTTGTAGAAAGCTTCTAAGAGGGAGAAGAAGGTTTCTAGGGTTAAGAGATGAATATGCATTCTTTGGTTTGATTTTAAAAGTGGCAGCATCCTGGATTTTCGGACTCGTGGCTGTTAAGGGTTTGAACGGTAAGTAATTTAGGGTTTAATATTCAAGGCTAATTGGTAGGAGAATGAATTGTTAGAATAATATCTTTGTTATTATGATTTATTATTCTGTTTACTTGTCATTAGTTGTAATTTCCTTTTGTGCCATGAAGCTTCTATGGTACGTTTCATATTATTAACATATAAGAGAGTGATGGTCTCATTGTTCCCTAAGTTTTGATTTCTTCCAAAATAAACATGGTATCGGAGCAATATGGCTTTTACCTCACCATCCATCCCTCCGACAGTCACCCACCATCATCCGATAGCCACCCAAGTCCAGCCGACTGCTTCACAGGTCCTTTCGGCCCTCCTTCAGTCGTCCTAGGGCAAGCCAACAGCCCTTCTGGCTCTTTCGGCTCTCCTAGAGTCTGCCTTGGGCAAGCCGACAGCCCCTTTGGTTCACCTCTCCTACTTCATTACCCAGTGCCGAAAAAGCAATTCTATGGTTTGACAGTCCTTGTCTAGTATTTGTCTCTCACCCATTGCAATCATTGTTGGTCTGGGACTCCTAAAATATCTGTTTTGATTGACCCGTGAGTTTTTCAATCCTTTTTTGTTTTTTTCTTTTTCTTTTTTAGTCAATGAATATATGGCACTATTACTCAGTATTGCATGATTTTACCTCTCCCTCCATGATTTGTGATTGTTTCTAGGTGGGTTGATCCCAGTTATTTTTCCTTTCTTCTAGTAGTAGTGATTATTGCAGGGTTTTGTTTAGATAGTAGCATTCTACAATGGCTGAAATTACTAGTGAATCCACCACTAGTTCCCAACCATTTATAGGGGGAGTCCCATTATGGCTACTATATCCGAAAACCTTAACCCTAGCCTTAAAATTATCACCTCTCTATTTAATAGTCAGAACTATCTTGCTTGGTCATTAAGTCTTGACGCTTATTTTAAAAAGTCTAAGGGAAGATGGGTTATGTTGATGGGAGAATCAAAACACCTAGCATTATTGATCTTGGTTATGATCAATTGGAAATTACTAGTTCCTTGATTATGGGGTGGCTTATCCGCTCAGGAGAATCACATCACCTAGCATCACTGATCTTGGTTATGATCAAAGGGAAATTACTAATTCTCTGATTATGGGGTGGCTCATCCACTCAATGGTACCGGATATTGGTGAGGGTTACTTATCTATGGATACAACAAAGGACATTTGGGATGCTGTGGCTGCTACCTATTCCCGAAAAGGGAATTTTTCTCAGACTTTTGAGATACGCCGCTCAATGGAGCGCTCGGTATAAGCTGAGATGACCATCCTTCAGTATTTTACCTTCCCTAGTAATGGGTGGAAACATCTGGATCATCTTCAGGACTACAAACCAGTTTGCCCAACCGATTATATGGGGTGCCACAAGTTCATTGAGCAGAAGAGGGTCTTCAAATTCCTAGAGGGTCTCAATGTGTAGTTTGATCTTGTTCGGAGTTATGTTCTTGGTATGGATGTTCTCCCTTTCCTTTAGGAAGAATTTGCTTATGTTCAGAATGAGAATAGTCACCGCTGAGCTATGCTTCCTCTTGCCTCCATCAAGCGCTCAGCCTTAGTCTTTGCTCCTTCTAGAGATGGAGATCGTCTGTACTGTGGTACTTGCAATTCTTTTGAGAAGGATAATTTGTTTTATGACTACTGTCGCCGGCCTAGACATACTGGTGAGACATGTTGGAAGCTTCATGGTACTCCATCTGGGGATCATGGTGACCATGCTAGTAGTCGAGGGGGTTGCTCTAGACAGTCTAGAGGCGTGGGTCTAATCCATGCGCTCATCATTCTAGTGCGGTTAATACACATGATTCTGCTCTAATTGTGCTCTACTAATGTTGTCTCTGGTATGTCTTCTTCTGAGTTTGAGGATGCTCTACGTCACTTGCTAGACCACTGGACTTTCACAACTCCTACTAGTGCATCTTCCTCTTCGTTTGCCCATTCAGGTAACTTAGCCTCTTCCACAAATGCTTTCCTATCTCATAAAGCTTTGCCTTGGATTATTGATTCTGGTGCCTCGGATCATAAGATTGGATCTTATGACATTTTTTTGGAATATAAGCCCTTTTCAAGTCAGGACAAAGTTAGGATTGCTAATAGTATCATTTCTTCTATTTCTGGGAAAGGTTTAATCGATGCTATGTCTTCTTTACCTTTGCCATCAATTTTACATGTTCCCAGTTTCTCTGTTAATCTTCTATCATTGAGTCATTTTACTCAGGATTTGAATTGTAGTGTGACCTTTTTTTCCTGACCACTGTCTTTTTCAGGACCTTACAACAAGGAGGACGATTGGCAGTGGTAGAGCAGAGAATGGTCTCTACATCTTGGATCAGGCAGATCACATGGCTTATCATACCATCCAGTCTCCAACCACCAAGACGGCATTTGGCTTTGGCATCGGTGTCTGAGACATCCATCTTTTTATTACTTAAGCATTTGTTTCCTTCGTCTTTTAAGAACAATAATGTTTCTGAGTTTAATTGTGAGTCATGTCAACTTGGCAAACAATATCGAGCTTCTTTTGCTCCAAATATTAATAAAAGTTTCATTCCTTTTTCATTGATTCATTCTAATGTTTGGGGTCCTTCTTGTGTTGTTTCATTAAAAGGCCATAAATGATTTGTCACCTTCATTGATGATTTTTCTCACACTACTTGGGTGTATTTACTTAAAGAAAAGAGTGAGGTTTTCTTTGTGTTCCAAACCTTTCATCAAGATGATGTGCACTCAATTTGGGGCTGTTGTAAAAATTCTACATTTTGATAAGGGGGTGAGTATATTGATTTAGGGTTAGGACAATATTTCAGCACTTTTGGCATCATTCATCATACTTCTTGCACCAACACCCCTCAGCAAAATGGGATTGTGGAACGCAAGATCGTCATATTCTTGATATAACTTGTTGCATAACTTTTTCTATGCATATGCCTCAGTCTTACTAGGGTGACGTTGTCCTCACTGTTGTCTATTTTATCAATCGCCTTCCTACTCAAGTGTTACACAAGCAAACTCTTCTTCAGGTATTCTTCAGCTCTCGGCCCATGTCTTCTATTCCCCTCAAAGTTTTTGGGTGTGTCTGCTTTGTTCACAATCATTCCCTTACTCGTGGTAAACTGGATCCTTGTTCTCTTAAACGTGTCTTTCTTGGGTACTCACATACTCAAAATGGGTATAAGTGTTATCATCCTGTTTCATGTGAGTGATTTGTATCCATGGATGTCACATTCTTTTGAGTTCCAGTCCTACTTCTTGTCCCCTTCGGTTTCCCAGTCATCCCTTCAGGGAAGCCTAAGAGTATTACCTATTTTTGAACCTTTACCAATTGTTGAGGATATAGCGTGAAAACCACAATGTGAACCAGCTATTAGGAATACAAAAGTTGATACACTCAAGGATCAAGGAAAAGTTTATGTCAAGGACAAAGAAAGACAGAAGGTTACTTGGATCCAAGAGATCACTTCTCCTGATCTTCCACTACTGTCTCCTTCAACTAACGAGAGTCTAGGTAACTCTGATAACCCTGATAACCCTGAATACACAGATCTTGATATTCCTATTGCCCACCAGAAAGGTGTGAGGTCTTGTACTCAACATCTCATCTCTAATTTTGTATCATATTCTAATTTGTCTCTTTCATATAGAGCCTTTGTGTCAAAAAAATTCTTTATTAGTATACCTAATCATTTTCAGAATACTCTTTCCACCCTTGAGTGGAAACATGCCGTGATTGAAGAGATGAAAACACTTCATAAGAATAATAGTTGGGAATTGACAGAGTTACCTAAGGGCAAACGAACTGTGGGATGCAAGTGGGTGTATACTATGAAGCATAAGGCAGATGGTTCGATTGAGCGCTATAAGGCTCGATTTGTGGCAAAGGGTTTTACTCAGACTTATGGAGTAGATTATCAAGAAACATTTGCACCAGTTGCTAAGATGAATTCAGTAAGAGTACTCCTCTCTCTGACAGCTAATCTGGATTGGCCACTTTACCAATTTGATGTGAAGAGTGCTTTCTTACATGGTGATCTAGAAGAAGAGGTGTATATGGACATTCTTCCTGGCTTTGAAGATTTTGAAACAAAGGGTAAGGTGTGCAGGCTTTAAAAATCATTATATAGTCTCAAACAGTCCCCAAGGGCTTGGTTTGAGAGATTTACCCAGGCAGTGCTTAGATATGGTTTCAAACAAAGTCAAGCTGATCACACTCTATTTGTTAAACATTCCTCACATGGTAAGACTACAGCTCTCATTATATATGCGGATGACGTAGTATTTACAGGAGATGATGTTGAAGATATTTCTCAGTTGAAGGAGTATTTGGCAAATGAGTTTGAAATCAAAGATTTGAGAAACTTGAAACATTTCCTAGGTATTGAGGTTGCCCGGTCTAAGGATGGAATCTTCATCTGCCAAAGGAATTATGTGCTTGATCTATTAAAAGAAATTAGAATGCTTGGAAGTAAAGCTTGTGACACATCGCTAGAGCCAAACCAGAAACTTGGTGATGATTATTGTGGAATTCTTGTTGACAGGGGGAGTTATCAGAGACTAGTGGGTAAACTCATTTACCTATCCTATTCACATTCTGACAATGCTGTTGCGGTTAGTGCAGTTAGCCAGTTTATGCATGCTCCTCATGAGGCACACCTGGCTACAGTTATGTAGATTCTTAGATACTTAAAATCTTTGCCTAGAAATGGCCTCTATTTCTCCAAACATGATCATCTTAGTGTGGAAGTTTATACAGATGTTGATTGGGCAGGATCAGTAATTGATAGAAGGTCCACATCGGCGTATTATACCTTTATTGGAGGAAATTAGAATGTGATAGCTAGATCTAGTGTAGAGGCAGAGTTTAGAGCCGTGGCATAAGGTGTGTGTGAAGTTTTTTAGATCAAGTTACTATTGAGTGATCTGGGAATTAAGCAGATAGACTCTATGAGGCTATACTGTGACAATAAGGCTGCTATCAACATAGCTCACAATACAGTTCAACATGATCAAACAAAACATGTTGAAATTGATTGTCACTTTATCAAGGAGAAACTCACTACTGGCACTATATGTACTCCTTTTATGAAGTCTGGAGAATAGTTGGCAAATATTCTCACAAAGGGAGTTACAAGTAAACCGTTCCATGATATTCTTAGCAAGCTGGGCATGAGAGATATTTTTGTACCAGCTTGAGAGGGAGTGTTAGAATAATATCTTTGTTATTTTGATTTATTATTCTGTCATTAGTTGTAATCTCCTTTTGTGCCTTGAGGCTTCTATTGTACGTTTCATATTATTAATATATAAGGGAGTGATTGTCTCATCGTTCCCTAAGTATTGATTTCTTTTAAAATAAACATGAATTAGGGTTGATTTGGGCGTGTAATGTATTGGATATGATTGTGGAGTTGCAAAATACACTTTTTGAGGGTTGGGAATAGTAACTCAAGCATCGTGGTTGGGTTAATCGTGAAAAGAGGTGATTAACCCTCACAAGGGTTAGGTAAGTTTACACAAGCACAATCAAATTCTCATAATATCAACTCCATCTTGAAAATGAAATTACATGAAGAAGTAGAAGAAAAGAGGTGCTTGACCCTTCATTAGGCAAATTTACACAAACACAATTTCAATACCAATGAAGAAGAGAAGGAAAATGCTAGACGCTTGTAAGGGTTAGACCTAAGAAGCATGGGCATTTCTATGGAGGAGGTTGTTGTGTTGGACACGACACTTTGTGGACACTCCTAAGAGCGTGCCCGACACTTCTTGAACATATCTTAATTAAGCAACATTTTAAATTCATAATATCGGATGCTTTATAGTTAATTCTCAGACACTTCAACTAAACTTCTGAACCCTCAGACTCATCTTAGGTGATGAATCTGGTTTCTCTTAAATTTCACTTTTTGAATCTCTCCAGTGGAGAGATTGGGAGAGAAAAGAAATGGAGTGATAAGAAACTTTTTATTTTACCAATTTTTCTATCCAGGTACTAAAGAAATAAAAACATAAATGGTTATTTTAATAATATAACTTGTAATAGTTTATTTTCTTATCTTGTATGTAGTCTATCCAAACATGATAGGAGAAAAATAAAAAAAAAAAAGAATTTTCGTTTCTCTCTAGCTTAACCAAACAAAAGGGAAGGAAAACACATTCTTTTTTTCTTTTAAACTCTAATTATAATGTTATAGATGCAATTTTTAATGCTATTTTAGCACACAGTATACTACACTGTTAGAGTGTGTTCTTTATGATGTGTTGTACTATTTTAGCACTACTACTCCTCAACACTAAACTACTGTGGAGTTGCTCTTACACCTCTTCAATTCTATGTAGGGCTTCTATTTCTCTAGGACTAATGTTCAATTGTATTAAAGTATGAACTTGCCATGTTCATGATATACTAAATATCAGTTAGATTGGAGGCTAGTGGCTCTTCCATACATACATTGTTCCAATTCAAGTTATCGTTTTACATATTTATTTGAGTTTATGAATTAGATCCATGTGATATTTGGCATGCAGGATGTAGATGAGATATTATTCATTATTAGGTCTTGTTTTGGACCCTATAATTTTTTATTATTCACTGTTTATTGATATTTATATCTCTTATAGTTTGTAGGATCGGAATCATTGAGAGAAAAACATTTTGAAGTCATGCAGAAGTACAATTTCATGCTCAACAAGATCACCATATATAACTATGAAGTCGTTAGAAGGCTAACTTCAAGTGTCTGTTCTTTAATAACTATGATAAATATATATATTGATTAGTAAAATCTATGAAATATTTTAATCACATTAGAACAATTTTGGAAGTAATAAATCTAAAAAATTTACTAATAATTAGAGGGCTACTAGAAAATAATAGAAAGTTACTATTGTGGTGTTCTTTTTTCCAAATAGAAATTGGGTTGTAGATGACATGATATGTCACTGAATAGAAGAGTTTAATGATGCTGATTACTTGATTCATATCTGTAAATAAAGATTTCAAAAAAAAAGAATGGAAGCAAAATTTATTATTCCAATATTGCATTGGGAATGTCCTCGGGTCCTTTGAAACTTTTGAACAATTAAATCTACACTCTGCTATGAAATTTATAAGATTGTTATTATAAGCCAAGTTTTATGCCAGATTCATATAGGCATTTCTGTTGTCAGGCATTGTTATTGATGGCATTTATTTGATGCATGCATTTAGTGACTGATCTATGATTCTAACCAGCTTTGCTACTGTAGTTTATATGATTATCTCAATTATCTGATTTGTACTATAGACCCTAAGAGCATGCACTGTTCAATTTTCCAATGCAAAATTAGTTTTCACCTTTTTATTTCTTTTATTTTTAATTTTCTGATGATATAAGTGTCTTTTCAGAAAACTTGGTTGGGATCCTAAACAAGGTGAGAGCCACTTAGATGCCATGTTGAGAGGGGAGCTTTTGACTGCCCTGGCCCAGTTTGGACATGATATTACACAAAATGAAGCAAGGAGGCGTTTTGATGCATTCTTAAATGATAAAAATACACCACTTCTCCCACCTGACATGAGAAAGGTACATAAAAACAGTTTACTTTGAATTCATCTATTTTTAGAGTTCTGTCATGTGTACCTTTCATTTTGCAGGCAGCATATGTGGCGGTGATGCAAAATGTCAGCACATCAAATAGGTCGGGTTATGAATTACTTTTGAAGGTCTACAGAGAAACTGACCAGAGCCAGGAGAAAACACGAATTCTAGGTAAAAACAATTTATTTGTCTGAATGACAATTGAAATATATATATATCTTTAGTACAAGTTTCACAATTAGACTCCCTTGAATGTTTTTAGGTTCTTTAGCTTCTTGTTCAGATCCAGATATTGTTCTTGAAGTTCTCAACTTTTTGTTGTCTCCTGAGGTATCTTAGTTTTTGTTTTCCACATTAATTATGATGAAGGATTTATAAGCCATGATTTCTTGAAGCTTGATGGTGCTGAGTTTGTTTGTTTGTTTGTATATTTAGGTTCGCAGCCAAGATGCTGTTTATGGAATTCATGTTAATATAGAAGGGCGTGAAACTGCTTGGAGGTGGCTGAAGGTAATTTTGATCTTATGTTTATTTGATAAAACACTATCAGAAAATTGTTGGTTTAAAGTTATAACCTTCATGGTATTCACATATTGTAGAAGGACAACATTCCAATGAGTCATCATGAAACTTGGAAAAAGTGCTTTAAACAGAAATTATAAAAAAAAAATAAATAAATAAATAAAAAAAGGTGAGTGAATGTAAGGAGAATGTGTGGAAAGGTTGAGTAGGTGGTCATGGCAAAACATCGGAGACCCAGGGGAGTGAGTGATTCGGAGAGAGATCCAGCCAAGAGAAAGATAATCAGTGCAGATTTAGGACTCAAAAGTATAGAGCTTAGGGAAGATCTCATTCTCAAAATTGATATATTCCTTACCATGATGCAAGGAAAGTGACACCTTATATAGATATATATATATATGCACTGTAAAAGTGTCTGTGCTTCTTAGTATGTAGATTTATACTGTAAATGACACATAAGTTTTTCCTCCATCTGGCTTTGTATTTAGTAGTCTCATTCATTAAACCTAAACCCTGTTAGAATATTTGACTTATTGAAAGATAGCTCGAGTGCTATTTCATGCGATTAGAAATCATTGGTAGGGTAAACACAATGAACCCTTTGAATTTTTATGCCCAAGGTTGAAAATGAAGCGATTGGGTAAGAGGGCTTAGTGAGGCTAGAGGGAAGTAAACTTCTACATGAAGAGCTGCAGGTGAACTTTTTTAGTATCAAATTTGGAATAGGTGTAACAATTTACTTGGAATAACTTTAGCTTAGGTGAATCTGTTGGAAGTTCTTTAGGCCATTGCCTCTATCAAGTTTCAAACTTGGAATAGGTTGAATATTTATGTAGAATAGCTTGGAGCTACCATGAAAATCTTCAAATTTAAATAATGAAGAGAGGTACGACTAAATTTTTTTTGTTAAATGATGTCATTATGACCATTATAGGCCAACCACTTGATTGATTTCTCAATTTGAGGTTAAAGTCCCTTTTGTTGTTTTCTTGAAGAGAAATTTTAGAAAGTCGGAAATAAAAATAAGGAAGCTTTTCTGTAGAAAACCTGTAATGTGACTTGAATCATTTTCTTGTTTCCTCTTGTAGTTTGTACTTGTTCTTGCTACACCTTTTATTTTTATATTCTAAATCAAGAACATATATTATGTTTTGAGGGTTTACACTGCAGTTATTTCCTTACTGGAAAATGACAGTATCATCAATTAGTAGTGACATTTTTAGTTTTAGACGAGTTGTTACTGGAGATATGCCACAAAGAAGTTTAAAATGTATATTTGTCATCTTATGGTTTATCCTTCTTTTAATGACTGGGATACAGGACAATTGGGCTCACATCTCAAAAACTTGGGGTTCTGGATTTTTAATCACCCGCTTTATCAGTGCCATTGTGTCACCGGTTTGCCTCTCTCTCTCTCTCTCTCTCTCTCTCTCTCTCTCTCTATCTATGTATCTATCTCTCCAAACACTTAGTTCCTTGAACTGCCTTTTTTTATTTGTTTATTTGAGTACACATCTTATCCCTTTAATCAATTCGCATATATATTAAAGTATGAGTGATATTTGATTCCTCACCCAATCCCTTTTTCCCATTGTCTTAGTTTTCTTCGTCCGAGAAAGCATTTGAAGTGGAGGAGTTTTTTGCCAGCCGTGCCAAGCCTTCAATTTCAAGGACCCTGAAGCAGAGTGTTGAGCGGGTTCACATTAATGCGAAGTGGGTTCAGGGCATTCAGAATGAGAAACATCTAGCAGAGGTTGTACAAGAGTTAGCACACAGGAAATACTAGGAGACGGTTTTGTTTAGCCTGCCTCAACTCACTTGGATATTAAAGGATGTGTTGTTCAGAGCAGTACTTTAACAACACAAAATCAACTGCTTGAGAATAAGAACATATTGAAAATGGATCATTATCAGCCAACAAAACTTTAATTTAATACTTAAACGTAATTTGATTTTGTATCCTTTTGAATATAGCTTGCACGGTGTTTGTTAATTTTCCAATTCCTTGAGGTTGTCTTCTTTCATGTTTAAGGTCAGTCGGTTTTGACATTCATTCAGGGCTTAGTCTTTGTTTTCCTGAATGAGTCAAATGGTGATATGGTTAATGGTTACAATTCTGTTCAACACAAAGGGTTTGGTTGAGAGTAAAGATCTTGGGTATTATATCCAAGGTCCTAACTCTTCCTAGGGCCAACTATTTAGGCTGCACAGAAGGTTGGTAGAACAAGCCTTTTAGGTTTGGGTGAACTGTACTTAGTATCAACAATGTGGGTTCGAATTCCTACTAACCTCAGAGGTGACTCCTACATGGTTAGGTTTTTTATTTTTTTACGATTCCGTTCTTGTCTATCTAGGGATGAAACTACAATTCAACATGGTAAGGACATAGCCAGACACAGTAGATTGGAATTTATTAGGGCTACTACCAAAAGTTAATGAGGAAATTACATGTCAGTGAATCTTTTTAGAATAATTAATTTGAAAGTATTTTTACAATTTTTACTGATTTGTTATTTTTCCAAAATTAATTGTCCAGTCAAAGCATCCCTCGACTTGGTAAGACCATCTCTTTGTTCTTGTCATTTAGGCAAGCTTTAATATGACATGTTAGAGCATTTTCAATTGTTCATGCTATTTTAGCATTGTTAAAATTATTGAAAACAAATTTAAATCTTTCCAAAAGATGAGACTATTGTGTATCCATTTTGTGTCTTTTTCACAGACCATACTCATCTCTGTCTCTATCTTCTCTCATACGATTCTCTCTTCTCTATGATTCTTCCTTCTCTCTTCCTCTATCAAGGAGAGTTGGGTTTGGGCTTTCCCCTCTTCCTCTATTATTCTATTCATCGTCTTCGTCTCTTCATCTCCATTTTCTCTAAACCTCACAATGATTTTTATGGCAATCTCCAACTCCTTTAAATCTCTCTTCTTTTTCTTTTTGTCTCTCTTCTTTTTCTGTTGTTTTTGCTGATTTTTTTGTTACAATATTGAACAAGATCAAAGGGGACCGTGAATCTATCGTTCTTTTTGTTGATATTTGCTAAATAGATTCATGATTAATTCTTTATTGATCAAAGTGAAGAACTTTTGGTTCAATAGTTTGAAGAATTTTAAAGTATTCTATTGGTTAAAATCAATTTTTTTGCTGAATAATTTTTTGAAGTG